ATGACCTGTTAGCTCCCTCATAATGACCTGTAGGCTCCCTCATAATGACCTGTTGGCTCCCTCATAATGACCTGTAGGCTCCCTCATAATGACCTGTTGGCTCCCTCATAATGACCTGTTGGTTCCCTCATAATGACCTGTTGGCTCCCTCATAATGACCTGTTGGCTCCCTCATAATGACCTGTTGGCTACCTGATAATGACCTGTGGGCTCCCTCGTAATGACCTGTTGGCTCCCTCATAATGACCTGTAGGCTCCCTCGTAATGACCTGTTGGTTCCGGTTCAGGAACTCGGTGATTCTTTTGGACCGCTGGTCGCCTCTTCCAGGTTTCCTAGTTTGCCTTTCTGGTCCAAACCCAGTCAGGAACCAGAACCAGAACCAGCCCACCCCTCAGACCTGGACCCCTTCAGCCTGCCGCCCTTCCAGAACCGGTCCAGAACCGGAACAAACGGTCCATTTTGTTCTGGTCCAAATTCTTTATAAGGAATAGAGATTAGAATCTAATCCAGATTAATGATCCGTTTCTGGTCTGATGGTTCGGAACCTTCTGGTTGTGGCCGGCAGGGGGCGGTAGTGACCGGACCGGCTTCCCCCAAAGAAGAATGGGAAGTTAGTTGGACTTTGGTTCCGGACCGGATCAGGGTTCTAAATGAAGGCCGTGATTCTCGCCGCCGGGTTCGGAACCAGACTGCAGAGGGACGTCTCCTCTGATGCCAGCGGCAGGTTCGGCCACCTGATCGGGGTTCCGAAGCCGCTGCTGCCGGTGGCTCAGTGTCCGCTGATCAGCTACTGGATCCGGGCTCTGAGGCGCTCCGGAACCGCGGACGGGATCTATGTGGTGGTAGGAAGTTCTTCCCATCAGAACCGGAACCAGAACCTGTTCACAGAGCCGGGCCGAACTGGACCGGACCTGCTGTTAGGGCGGTGGTTTCTGCAGCATTAAAAGCACATTATGCGGAATATCAATAAATTATTAAGGTTTACATCATAATCTGGTTTAATGTAATTTATGTTATAATTCTGAGGGATTAAAGAGGATTAAAGAGGATTATTATTATAGAGGATTATAGAGGATGCTTTAGCAGCTGAAGAGGAAAAATATAATATCATATAATTAATTCCCAGTATTTATATGTATTTTAATGCATTTATTGGCGCATTACGGTGTGACGCCTGATCGATGAGGAACCTCTGAACGTTTGTTTATAGTTTATAGTTCTGATGAATAGAGATCATATCTGGCTTCTCTTCATCGGCTTCCTGTTTAATCCAGAATAGAATAGAATAGAATAGAATAGAATAAAGCCTCATCAATGAGGCACCTTAGAGTCTGCAGCAGCCATGGAACGAGTCCTAACTAGTCTTCATTATAAATTCATGCTCTTCTGTCCGTTCAGAGTTATCCCATCATTTAGCGTGATGCTAACTTCTCTGGGTTTCCAACCAATCACAGGCAGGCATTGGTCTGACGTCATCAGTCTCAGCCAATCATCTGATGCTTTTTTCTACCTTCTGTGATTGGATGTTGGGCTGCAGCCCAGCAGAGATGAAATAGACCTGCTCTCCCCCCCCAGGAGGACCCACCTGGACACCCTACCTGCTGTTAGCAGAACTAATGTTTAGGTTCTGGTCGGGTTCTGATTGGACCTGAATGTTGGAGGAGTTCTGTTGATGTTTCTACTGATCAGAACCTGCTCCTCTCCTCAGACCAACGCTCTGCACCACGCTGCCTTCCAGCAATGGGCCGAAGAGTTTCCAGACGTCCAAGTCCTGTGTGACCAGACCAGAACCAATGAGGTAAATAGATGTTGGACCCGGTCTGTTCCAGAACCTGTGGTTCTGTCTAAACGCGCTGTCCTCCCAGGAGCGTCTGGGCGCCGTGGCCTGCCTGCAGCTGGCTGTCAGACACTTCCACATCCGGGACCGAGTCATGGTTATCGGGGGGTGAGTTCTGCTGGAAAAATGCTTCATCAAATAGGGTTCTTTTGGGTCTGAGACTCGGTTCTGACCCGTTTCTGCAGTGACACGCTTTTCAGGGAGGACTTCAGTCTGCGGGCGGTGGAGCAGAGAGTCTGTGAGCTGCAGGCGGAGAGCGAGGACAGCTGCCTGGTCCTTTCTTATCGGTGCCGAGACCAAGGTGAGTCCATCGCTCCGAGTCCGTCTGGGGTTCTGGTTCTGTTCTATCGGTGTTCTGGTTCTGTTCTATCGGTGTCCATCGCTCCGAGTCCCTCTGGGGTTCTGGTTCTGTTCTATCGGTGTCCATCGCTCCGAGTCCCTCTGGGGTTCTGGTTCTGTTCTATCGGTGTTCTG